GAGACAGGGGGGAGCTCCTCAACACCCTGATCGGACCTGATCTGTGTGTGACAGAGGGGAGCTCCTCAACCCCCTGATCCGCCCTGCTCTGTGTGTGACCGGGTACAGACCCCCAACCCCTATGATCTGTTAGTGACGGGGCAGCGCCCCAACCCCCTGATTGGCCCTGCTCTGTGCATGACAGGGTGTGGCGCTGCAACCTCCCCATCGACCCTGCCTTGAGTGTGACAGGGGGCGGTGCCCCAACCCCCAAATCGGCCCTACCCTGAGCGTGACTGAGGGTGGCATCGCAAACTCCTGATCCGCCCTGCTCTGTGCATGACGGGGCGGCGCCCCAACTCCCCAATCGGCCCTGCTCTGAACCCGACAGGGGCTGCACCTAGGGATTGGGCCTGCCCTCTGCCACAAGGGAACAGGCCTAAGCCAGCAGGTCGTTATCTCCTGAGTGGTCCCAGACTGCGAGAAGGCACAGGCCGGGCTGAGGGACCCTCCTCCCCTCCGAGTGCATAAATTTTTGTGCACCGGGCCTCTAGTATTATAATAAAATACAAAATAACAACAAGAATCTAGGTATCTTAAGGGAGCCTCATGTTAACGAAATGAATTACAGCCTTGTGGTAAGGAGAGAGAAACAAGAAGATCAAGTTAGAATTTGTATCACTTAAGATAATTTTGTCATGTATTCAGGGACTAGTTCTAGAGACCTACGGTAACAGTGGTTTAAATAAGACAAGAGGGTTTTTTTGTTTGTTTGTTTTTCTCAGATAAAGGAGGAGGCATGCGATCAGAATCTCAGATGATGACTGTATTGTTGGGAACTGAGATTCTATCTACTTTTCTGCTCCATTATTCTCCGTACATGGATTCCATCCTCAAGATAAGCCCACGGCCCATAATGGCTGCTGTGAGTTATACATCCTTGTCTCTGGTAGAAGGGGGAAGGAATATGATAAAGGCAAAAGGATATTCTGTGCAGTTGAGTCCTCTTTAAAAAGCTTTCCTAGAAATCCCACCCAATAATTTTTACTTGTATCTCAGCAGGCTGGAAGAAGTAGTTTTGTAGGTTGGCAAACTGCTACAGTCAGCAATACAGGATTCCATTGACTCAGGAAGATGAAGGGAATGAATACTAGATAGGCAAATAGGAGTCTCTGCCACAGAATCCTATTGCTAGCTGTGTGACCCCAGTAGATTATTTACCCCCTCCAGGCCTCATGTTCCTCATCTGTAAAATGAAGGAAATGATCACATTTAGTATGGAGACTAAATGAGAAAAATACATGTAAAAATCAGAATACTACCTGGAACCCAGTACATAACACATATTAACTCATGATTATTTGATTATCCTAGTCTAGTGCTTTTCCAGATTCTTCTCCTGTTCCAACTTCCTTTCTAGTTCCAAATTTGGAAAATAATTTATATCAGTCGTTTTTGTACCTGCTGAAACTTTAGTGTGGATGAGTTTTAGTCATAGATGATATACATGTGAAAAATTATGTAAACGGAGCCACTTCAAAACTGAGTTGGAGCTGCCTTTCCAGAGGAACTGCCTTGCACGTCTTACTCCTCAAACCTTTGGAATGTTTAATCTGGGCAAAAGAACCTCTAGACTGGGCCAAAGCAATATTGTGTCTCAAAAAAGTGCTTGCAAAGCTAACAGGAAAGCAGACATTCTGACTACCAAACTAAAAATTAAAGACATTCTTTAGAATTAGCACCATGTATAGGTAAAGAATAACTTCATTTATTTACATCTATAGAAATTCCTTCCTTCCAGTCATGTAATTATCCCCCCTTCCCTTTCTCATAAAATCCCTTGCCTTCACTTCATAATCAGAACACTATTTGGGTTTCTGCCTGAATCAGTTGTTATCCTTAGGATAACAACATAAATAAGTGCTAATCTATAATAATAAAAGCGTAATATGCTAATTAGACTGGACATCCTTCTGGACGTCCTTCCGGATGAAGCCAGGGCTGTAGCCGCAGGATGAAGGCAGCCACTGTGGCTGCAAGGGATGGATCCAGGCAGCTGCAGCGGCTGTGAAGGTCTACTCTTGCACAAATTTCATGCATCAGGCCTCTAGTAACTTTATAGGTATTAATTGTGTCTTAAGGGTAATACATATACCAACTCATTTAATCTATAAACCCTTCATAACAGGTTTTATTAATATCACTGGAGGCCCGCTGCACAAAATTCGTGCATGGGGGGGGGGGTGTCCCTCAGCCCAGCCTTCACCCTCTCCAATCTGGGACCCCTCAGGGGATGTTCACAATACCTTGTGGTGGCCATTTTGTGCGAGGGCATGATGGTCAATTTGCATATTACCTCTTTATTATATAGGATTGTTTTACAAATAATGAATGGAAGCAGAGAAGATAGTAAGAGGTGATCCAAGAAATGAACCAAGACAATCTGGTTCTCTTATGCTAAACTCCAGTTGATAGTCACCATGGACTACTTTTTATACTTATTTACCTTCTTTAAAGTGTATTAGTCTTACCTTCCCTAATTTCCTGTTTTATATATCTCTTTGTATTCCCTGTATTTTCTACACCATTTTGCATATATTATATTGATGGGTATAAAAAAACTCAATGAATGAAGGATTTTTAATGTGTAAAACAATGTGTAAATCTATATATATAAAAGCCAAGTGACCAGAACAACCAAAACAACTGGTCGCTATGATGCACACTGCGGTGGCCAACTGGCCTATCGGGGCCCCAATCAGCTCCCCCCACCTCCCATGGCCCCTTCCCCCAGCTGGCCATGCCCCCTATCGGCCCCCCCACCCTGATCAGGGGCGGGGCCGGCAGCCAACCTCCCACGTCCCCCTCACCCCCACTGGCCTGGCCCCGATCAACCCCCATCAGGGCAGGCGGCCGGACCCCAGCCATAAGCCATACACAAATTCGTGCACCAGGCCTCTAGTATATCTATAATTTCCATGGGACTTATAATAATTTTGTCAAAATAAATTGGACAACTTTGAAATTCTAATAGTAAAAATGGTAAGATGATAACCCAGAAGGATTAATATAGTTTTCAAAACTAACTTATTAGAGCCACAAATTCTCTCATCCATATGTTATATAAAGCAACTCAAAGAAACTATAGTTTATGACTTGAAACTCACAATGGAGGTAACTTAGGTGCAGTTATACCTAACTGTGATATTTTAGATTAAGTATTCAACATTTCTGAGTCTCAATTTACTCATCTTTAACACGGGAATAAATAATTAAAATCTATCCTCTTTCCTCTCAGTGTTTTTAAGAATCAAGTTAAATGAGGCTACGAAAGTCCTTCCCAAGCAGGAAAAAACACACAGATGCTAAGTATTTCTAAATATATAACAAGAAACATGTATGTATAAACGTGTGAAGCATTAATATCAATGGACTATTATTAACAGCCAGCGGAATAGTTTGGAAAAACATGAACTTTTAGGTTGGAAAGACCTGGATTCAAGTTCTTATCCTGCCATTTACTAGCTGAGGGACCTTGGGGATGTTGCTTAAACATATTTCTGAGCCTCAGTCTTTTCAATTATAAAATGGTGAAAAAATAATACCTACCTAAAAGGGTATAATATGTAAGAAGCACCTGGTTCATGGTAAACACAACAAATTTTTTTCTGTGCCCTTATACTGACAATATTAGGTATTTTACTCAAGACACATCAGAGAAGTTACATCAGTCCTTCCAGGGTTTACCATTAAGACATCAACATATAGAAAGACTACATTTATTTAGTTTTTATTAAACTCTATTAAATGCCTACCACTCTTCCAGGTGATTAGGAGAGGATCTAGAACTTTATATTCCCTGCCCTGTAGATCAGTCAGAGGTTCTCAGATCTGGTTGACAGTCTGATGAAAGCTACATCGCCTCTCTCCAAAGAAAGTTACAAAACTTGTAGGAGACAATACTAGGGAAAGCATTATAAAGGGAGAGTGAGGAGAGGAGGAACACTCTAAAAAAGATTCATAAATACACCTACATTAAAATTAAGAATTTCTACATCAAAGAGACCATAAAGAAAATTTCAGGAATAAGCCACAGAGTGGAAGATATTTACTAGTACAATACATACAATTTTTTTTAAAAAAAAGGTGAGATTCCTGTGTAAAGAATTTCAACAATTAATAAAACATGACAGGCCAAAAGTGCGATACAGTGTTTATACAATGAAAATAAACTACAGCTGCATGTAATAATATGGGTAAATCTTACAAACTTAATATTGAGTGAAAAAAGCATGACACTAAAGAATAGGTACAGGATGATTCCACTCATGAACTTGGAAAATGGATAAAATGAAATAATATTGTATAGGGATGCATATGTTATGCATATGCATATGTATATAAGGTAAAACAGTACAGAAGAACGAGGGAATAATTATCACAAAAGTCAAAAAAGCTGAGTGACAGGGATCAGAGTCTGCTTCTAGATTGCTTACAATATTCTTTCTTGACTTGAACACAGATTACAAGGGTTTTACAGGCACACTGTTTTATTGAGTTTCATTTACTTTATTGTGCTTCACAGATGTTGCATTGAAGGGAAGACCCTCCACCAACAAAAAGATACGACTCGCTTTATTGCGGTGGTAGAACCAAGCCTGCAATATCTCTGAGGTATCCCTATCTTTTATAATTTGTAAGCTTTATATGTTATTCTGAATGTACACTGCAAAAATAAACAAATACACTTGCACCACCACACCTAAAGCTAGCAGGGAGAGAAGGAGTTCAGACTCTTTCAAGCCCCTAAACACCAAATTTATGGTGTCAAGCTACATGAGATAAAAGAAAAAAGAAAATCTTTAGAATGTAAAGTGGTGGGGGAAGAAGGGAGTGATGAGAATAGGAAAAGTCCAAGATTGGAAAGGGATCTTTAAGCCTCTGGGTCAGTTCATACTCTCACTTGGAGAGAGAACTTGCAGCCCAGACATGAGGAACAAATGCCCAAGCTTGGTAAGGAATGCGATGGTGTCTGAAAAACATAGTAACTAGTGCGGGGATGGAGCAGCACAGCTTGTAAAGAAACGTATCTATTAAATAATGTCTCCCCAAAGAAAGAAGACCAGTAAGCTGAACCTTCTCCCCACTCCTTAATATCTCCTCCCTTCACTCTTAAATGGTGAAAAACTACAAACAACAATTTCTGAGTGAAAAAGTATACCGTGTCATGTCTCAGCACAATACTATCACAGATCTCAGAAAGGCCTCTGTCAGCCTTGGGAAATTAAGGAACTGGTAAAAACAAGTTACAAAATGCCACTTCCACTAGCCTTGGAATAAGTACACCTATTGCGACTGAATGATAAGCCTACACCTGGATTATATCTAGTCTGACCTCCAGTATCGACAGCTCTTCACAGGACAGTCCCTCATTAGAGACAGTGAAGCTTTTTGCTGAATAGGACTCCAACACCTTTGTAAATGTTTTAATTGTATTCCTGCAAGAAATATTTACTTATTTTCCATTATTTCATGAGGTCTGGATTTATACTGAACAAAACTACCATTTTCCAAACGGATGGTGTCAATTGGTTATTTTGATTTTAAAAAAAAAAGTCCTAGTAAGGGGCATACGGAATTATTTTTAAGTTTCCAAGGGTATGAAGTTGACCATTCCTCATACTACACTCAAATTCTTTCTTTTCATTCTATTTTCTACCTGCCTGTTTGTTCCCTCACAGACCCCTAACTTCTCTTAATTTCTCCACGACTTGAGAAAGAGGCTTTCTAAAGAGGCTTTAGTGAATGTTTTCATCTCCACCTTTCTCACTTGTTTAGCTCCCTTCTGTAGTCAATTCCCTAGGTTTGTTCTCTCTTTTTAGATAACTGGCTTATCCAGTTGGAACCAAAGGCCAAAGAATTCCCTCTCTATGTATTATGTCTGATGGAAAAGCTTCCGGGGAAGAGAGGAGGGGTGTGGATCTGTACTTAGTCACTCTTACACTTCTGCGGCAAACTATTGACCTGTGCCGCCTTTGTACACCCAAAGGAAGTAATTTTAGGCCCAGAAATGATTCCCAGTCCAAATGGGTCGCCCTTTGGAATGCTATATTCTGCAGCACTCACAAAATAACTCTAAAGCCGGCCCTGCAGAAAACTGGTGCGCTCCGAAGGAGGTGGGGGCAGGGAGGAGAGTCGCAGGTCCGAAGTTCAGAGACACTGAAACCAGACTAGACAACTAGCGCGCGGGTCGACCTGGTGGTGGCAGCCCAGGCAAAACTGTCCCGAGGGGGCGTCCCCCACGGGTCTCTGACTCATCCAGAGATAAGTCATCACCTGGGCCACCAGGTCCAAGGCACCAGCTCCTGGATTTAGTGTGCGCATGGAAAATTTGTGGTTTTGGCTCCTGGGCCCTAGCAGGTAGAGAGAGACCCGTGTGGTTTTCCTCGGGCTCCGCCCCGAAAGTGAGGATGAGGATGGAAAAGCCATTCTCCCTCTCTCATCGCCAAGAGGTGCGGGTCCCATCCTGGCGGGTGAGCTGGTGAGGGAGCCGCCGCCTTCTAGGGCAGGACCTGAGCGGCCCCAGGGTGTCCAGCCCTCGGT